GTTGCATTTCCCATGGGAAGTGGTTGGGCAGGATTCCCTTAACCAGTTCAGGGCTGTGAGCTCTGCCAGAGCAGATGGGGGGAGCCCAACTTCATTTTCACTCAGGAACCAGCCTGTTGGCTCCCTCAAATCAGACCCTCTGAGCCTCCTTGTTGGGAGGTTCCTTGCTTTTCTCCCTTCTTCCCCAAAAAGGACAGCCATTCCATGATTTTCCCAGGTTTTGTCACACCGGTTGCCCCTGTTTGTGCTGCTCCAGGTGACCTTGGATGGAGTCATGCCCTACCTGCTCTGCAGACACTGATTTGAAAAGCAGGTGGTGTTACCCAGGTCAGGAATTGGTGTGTCTGCAGCCCTTTCACTGCCTTTCATTTGGGTTTCAGGAGGCCCCACGCACATGACCAAGCAATCGGGATCGTCTGTGTCCGAGCGGGAGCGGGAGCGAGAACGGGAGCGGGAGCGTGAAAAATCCATCCTAGCATCCACCACGGTGGAGCATGCACCCATCTGGAGACCAGGTAGGCTGGGAAGGAGCCTGGCACCACGCCTTGGGGCCTGTGCTGGGTGGACATGGTGTTTGGACTGTAAAACACAGAGCTAAAGAAGCCCTTCTTTGTGATTGCCCAGGTACGGAGCAGTCCAGCAGCCGTTCATCCTCACACTCTCACAGCCACCAGCACTCTCCCGTCTCACCCCGCACCCATGAGACCATCCAGCAGCGCCCCAGCGTGCTCCACAACACGAGCATGAAGATCATCTCCTCGGAGACCCCCACCCCTTCTGTCCTGCGGTATGTCCCCCCACCATGGTTCCTGCTGCTTGCCCAGACCCCCGCAGCGGCGCAGCCATGGTGGTTAATGAACGGTCATCACGTGGGGCACCTCTGAGGTGGAACAAGGGTTATTTTGGTTTTCAGTCTCAGTGGGAACAGGATTGGGGCTTACAAGGAGGTTGTGATGGGGAGAGGCAGATTTTGGTGCCCAATTCCTTCACTTTTCCTAGTGGGTTTTAGTGCTACCAGGAAAGAAAGCAGGAGCATCCCTGCACCCAGAATAGGTATGACTATTGCTGAAAGTGGAGTTATGAAGGTCTCTGAGACCTGTCCATGGGTTTGTTCTCTCCAGTAGATGTATCCAGGCCACAGCCAGTGGTGGAGGCTCCATCCGAGCCCTCCTCACCTGCTCCAGCATGGGCCAACCCTACACTCAGGAGCCCTGGGAGGACCTTGGCCTGGCAGGGTTGAACACAGGGGCTCTGATGACAGCACTCCTCTTTCTCCACGTGCTTCTCTCATCTTTGCCTTGTCTTTGTTTGCCTTTCCAGATCCTCCTCCACCACTACCACATCACCGATCCGCTCTGCCGCCTTCCCCTCGGCCTCCACCCTGCGTTCCTCCATCAGCTCAGCGGACGGCTACGCGACCCCAATGGACCCAGCCATCCTGCAGAAAGAGGCCCCGAGGGCACGGGAAGCCAAGGCAGAACGACCCCAGACTGACAACGTCTTCACCTCAAAGCTGCCAAGTGGAGCCAACCTCGAACAGTCGCCTTCACCCATTAAAGCCATGGAGTCAAGACCTTTACCCGCCTCTGGACCTGGTTCTTCTCATCACTATAGCAGAGGACAGGGGAAAAGCCAGCAGCACCATCACCCTCTGGACCAGCAGCACGCAGCCTCGGGCCCTGAGCAGCACAGTAGAGAAAAGAGTCAAAGTAAACGCTTTTCAGTGCAGGAACAGGAGCTCCGAGCACTCGGTAAGACCACCACAACAGCGGCCAACTTCATAGATGTGATTATCATGCGCCAAATGTCTTGCGATAAGGGGCAGCGAGAAAGAGGCTCGCTAAGTAACGACTCCCCTAGTGCTGGTAAGAAATTGGAGGGGAGAGGTGAGAGAGCTGTGGCCTGAAACCTGTTTTATTTCATGGTTTCTTATTTTTAGTTGCACGTTTTGGCTCTTGGCTTCATCAGCTCCCCAAGCATTCTTGTCCCTCTGCTTCCCGGTTGTTGTGTTATCCCAGACTTTTTTATTTGTGTGTGTTTTAAGGACCTTCCCTCCTCCCACCCTCTTGTAGTTTTTCCCGTTGCCAAGTCGTGTTTTGCAAACATTGTTCAGTTCCTGGTATTGCTTTTTACAGACAATAGCAATTTGCTAATTCTGATTTCCCCATCATTCGGAATTCCCAGGCAGTCTGTAAGGAGCAGTTGTGGGTAATAAATCAAACCAGCAAAGCAGAGAGTTAGGAGTGTGAGTGGGACAGGGCTGCTGGCCCTCAGACAGGCTCCTCCCTGCACTGAGAGCCCAGGATCTCAGAGGGCTTAATGGGCTTCTGCATGATGCAGCTCAGACGGGGTCCCTTCACTTGGGGTGACCTCGCTCGGGGTCCCAGTGCTGGATCCTGCACAAGAGGGCAACGTGGACACAGTTCCCATGAGCATGCAGGAGCAACAGGCAGCCTGTGTGGATCTGATGGGATCCTATCTGCAAGTTGAAGCATCTGCCTTGGCCACCAGCTCAGGATGGCTGGGGAGGAGAGCTGCTTTCACTGGTGCATCCTGACCCACCCATCTCACCACTTGGTCACGTCTGGTTCCAGACCCTTCTGTCATTGAGCTCTAGGTCCAAGGACACACCTCTGGGCATGGTGTGCTGCTTGGCTGAGCTTTTCCTCTGCCTTTTTCCCTGGCAGCAGTGTTTCCTCCAGCTGCATGTTGTCATGCTGCAGAGCAGAGGGACAGCTTTTCTACAGCCGTGAGCTTACAGAGAGGAGCTGGTGTTCCTCAGAACTTTAATATTGGTTAGGGACCTTTCCAGAGCATCGCTTTGGAGCTGGCATTAATGGGGTGACGGGGGATGCTGCATCCCCATCTCTGGCACAGGAAGGTTCTCCGTGGGGGTCCTTCTCTTCCTGTGCCTCAGGTATGTGCAAGGTCAGTGGCGCTGGGGCACTGGGGACCCTCCAGTCGCCTGCCAGATTTGCCTGAAGTGGCTGTTTCTAGGAACTGAGTGTTACGAGGGTAAAGGTCTGTGGAGGCAAAAGTCATGAGTGTTACCAAACGTGCTGAGCTGGCGAGTAGCACTGTGGGACTCCTCCAGGACTCCGTCCTCCACCCTTGGTCTGTGGAAGTGTAACTCGTCCGAGCCTCGCTTTTCCCTCTGTTAAAAGGTGCTGGTGGTGACTTTTCCAGCTATGCCTGTTCTGATGCTGTTTGCATCTGTGCAAAGGCCTTAAAAGGCAGAGAATGGTCAAGAAGATGCTTTGCCCCTGCAGTGTGTGGATCCGCTGTCTCTGGACATCAGAGGTGGTTCCAGGGGTCCTGGCAATGTGACCTGCCAGGTCTTCCCTCATCTCTTTTCAAGCCCCTTTGCAGAACACATGACTCTACCCACAAGTGATGGTTGCCACAGTGCTAGGGAAAAGCCAGGTGAACTCCTGTTTTAATTCCCTTCTTTTTCCCAGGCTTTCACGGAGGCTACAGCCCTGAGCGGATGGAAGCAGTGAGTCCTGTGAGCTCTCCCAGCCTGTCCCATGAGAAAGGGGCCAAGCTGCTGCAGGATGTGGAGAAGGGGCATGGGGAGCATGACCTGAGGCAGAAACAGCAAGGTGAGGGCAGGGGCTGGCAGTGCAGGAGAGCCTGAGCTAGGATGGGGGGGCTTTGTCAACCAGCTCTCACTCACTGCCCAGTGCTGAGCCAGGATGGGATTCAGGCAACAGAACACAGATGTCATCTCACACTGGTTCTCTTCTTTGTGCCCCCCCAGGCCCGCTGAAGGCCTCAGCTCCTGAAGCAGCCCACCTGCAGCACCTCCGGCAGCCCGACGGGCCCCAGTGCCAGCCCCTGCAGTCCAGCCAGAGCATCAAGGGCATGAACCAGCGGGTAGTCACGTTGGCCCAGCACATCAGTGTAATTATCCTTATTACCGCCTTCACACTGGGGTTCCAGGGAGGAGGGAAGAGCTGATACGTAGCATGTCTGGTAGGGAAGGGCTGGGAGTGATGCTAGAGACCTCAGCACCTCTGGTTGGGGGCTGGTGGTCAGCCTTGTGTCTGCATCCCCAACAGGCCCCTAATGAGAGCTGCTGCAGGCAGGAGGCAGAAGTTACATCCCTGCAGGGACAAACCGGCCTCATTCTGCTCGCCCTTATTTGAGCCCAGCAAAGCAAGAGAGAGAAACCACCTCTATTGCTGACCTGGGTTTCTCGTTCTAGGAGGTCATCACACAGGACTACACTCGCCACCACCCGCAGCAGCTCAACTCCCACATCCAGGCCCCGGTGTACACCTTCCCCGGGGCCACGTGCCCCGTGCTGGACCTGCGCCGTGCCCCCAGCGAGGTGTATCTGCAGCAGCAGGATCACACAGCGGCCTCCAGGATCTCCCCACAGAACGAAGGGGGCAAAAGGTGAGCTCAGAGAGTCCAACCAGAACTGGTGCAGATGGGTTTCTGCCCACCCGCTGTGCCAGTCTGAGTTCAGACAGACAGGGCGACCCCCAGTAAGGGGGTGCATTGGGCAGGCTGGCATTTGTCATTGCTGAATTCGTGCTTCCCAGCGTGGATCGCTTGCTTACACAGCCCAGAGTGTAAAACTGCTTTCTGATCTGGGCATTTCTCCCCTGTGATGGTGCCTCTTGCCATCCCTCTTGTCTTAGAGATGGTCTCTAGACCCCTTTAGAGACCTGTGCATCATCCACTTCCCCATCTGGCCAGTGCCACAGAATAGTTAAGGCAGGAAGGGACCTCCTGAGATCATCCATCCCAATGCCCTGCTCTCAGAGCCAGCTGGAGCAGGTTATCCTGGGTCATGGCCAGTGGAGTTTTAAGTATCTTCACTCACGGAAACTTCAACGCTTCTCTGGCCAACGTGTACCAGCATTTGAGCACCTTCAGAGTAAAAAACTGTTTTCTGTTGTTGGGATGGAATTTCCTGTATTTTGATTTGTGCTTCTTGCCTCTTGTCCTGTCACTGTCCTCAGTCCCTGGCACAGGGTGCAGTGACCTCTCAGACCACAGCTGGTTCCAAAAACCCAAAGCAAATGTTTTCCGTTGGTTCACAGTTAATTTTATCTTCATTTTTCTCAGTGAATCAGAAGCTTGCTAGATACATGTGCCTTGTCAACTGCAACTGTCCATTTCAGGCACCACCTGAATTTCTTCTAAAGTCATTTTCAAAGCCTTGTGCTGATAACAGAGACCTAAATCCATCTGGGAAAAAACTGGTGGTTCCTTGACAGTAAATGGGATTAGGACCAGGCAGAGCTGGGAAGAACCAAGTTGGCTTTATAACATGAGGGGAGAGAGCCGAGCCCTGGCCACCCAGCGATGGAAAAAAAACTGGGGGAAAAAAGAAACCACAGAAAGAACAAAGATGTAAATTCCCAGAACTTGCCATGAGGAATTCCTCATGGGCTCGGGCCTGGCCGTCTCCCAGGTGGTGGCCACAGGCAGGCATCAGGGAACTGCACCGGTCCTTTTCAGGCTGCCCCAACACCAGACAAGGTGGACGGGAGGTGGTGGGTTCTGTCCTCCAGTGTAGCCACAAACATGATGGAGAATCAAAAGCCGTGTCCCCAGAGGGTTAATGTCACAGCCCTCCAAGGGATTGAGTCCCTGCCAGCCAGGAACACTTGGGCTGAGCCAGCAAGTCCCAGGACTGGTCCCTCCATCCCTCCTGGGCAGCTGTGTTTTGGTGTGCTGCCTGGGAACTTGGTCCACGTTTGGGTCAGCGCCGCTCTGCATGCCCGCAGTGCATGATGCACAAGCTGTGCTCTTCCTCCTGTTCACATTGAAAGGCACCATAAGCCCGCAGGGGTGTGGAAGGTTTGGCCTCTTGCCCTGCTGTTGGGAAGCTGTTTTAACCCTTCTCCCCCTCCCGACCCCGAGCTGCTTGTGCCGAGACAGAGAGTTTTGTCATGAACCCATCGCAGGTCCCCGGAGCAGAGCAAGGCCTCGGCCGGGAGCGGTGCCGACAACTGCATCGAGCCGGTCTCTCCACCAGACGGCGTGGGAGAGTCGGAGCACGCCAAGAGCGCCACGTACCCGATCCTGTACCGCGAGGGCGAGCAGATGGACCAGAGGTAACGCCGCGGGAGGGGATGGTGGGGACAGCACAGGGATGTTCTCCACGCTCGCCCTGGCCCAGGCGGCTTTTCTTGCAGCCCAAATCGCTGTCGCATCCCGGGTTGCTGTCGGGGCTCTTCAACACTGTGTGGTACCTTTGCAGGGATAGGGAGAAAGGTTGGAGATATCAAATGTCTCAGCAGCCCCCAGGCTGATTCTGAGAAGTTACACTAAGGGAAGAGTCTCTCTATGGGGACATTGTGAACTGCACGTTGCAGAGGTTTCAGATGGTCTCTTGCTTTTGCAGGATGGGATCCAAGTCCCCAGGAAACAACACTCAGCCTCCAGCTTTCTTCAGCAAGCTGACTGAGAGCAACTCTGCCATGGTGAAGTCCAAAAAACAGGAGATCATCAAGAAGCTCAGCACGACCAACAAAAACGAGACGGAGTACAGTAAGGACATGTGGGGACGCGAATGCAGGGCACCAGAGGGGAAAAAGCCTTGAGGACACATGAAGCAAAGGAGATTTGGGAAAGGGTGCTGATGTGTTAATGGCTGGGAGCTCCCAGCCAGCTCTCTCTGCATCGTGTCATGGTTTGTTGGGAAGTGTGAGGTCTAAATGCTTCCTGGGATGAGCTGTGCTGGAGCTGGGAGGCTTCCCAGCCCCATGTCTCCTTGCTTTAGGGCTGTCAATCCCACCCACACCAGATAACCTCAATAGGAAGGAAATAATGAGCTGAGCATGGAGGAGACTTAAGAGCAATTGATATTTTAATGAATGGCCAGTCAACCTGAATCCTTCCTCCTTGAGCTGCATCTCCCCCAACATGACTTTAAGCCCTACATCAATATTGGTATAGCTCTGTAAGACTAACCAGGCTGGCTTGTATTAGAAATTCAGCCCATTCATTCATTAACCGCTAACAGAGTAGATGGGATCATAATTTAATTTAGCCCAGCATTATATAGTCAATACTAATTCAATTTGAATCTATCTTACAACAGCTGCATTGGATAAGAGGGACCAAGCTGTCTCGACTCCTGCATGATGTTACCATGAGCCAACAGTATTGTTATGCCCCTTTGGGGACATGTGGCTGAACCCTGTGACCTTCCACACTTTCCCTTATCAAGGGAAAATACATAGAAATAGGAAACGCCTTTTATTTGATGAGAATTGTTGTTATTCTAAGGAAAGTGATATCCAAGTCAAACAGCTCAGCTAAGAGGGAAAATATTGATTTAACATTTCTCCTCCTCCTCACCCTCCCCACTGCCCAGATCTGCTCCATGGATGTGGGGATTTGAGCCTTTGGAAACCCCATAGGTGGGAGAGATGATTTGATGTGTAATCCAAAGGGCTGGAGGGTGGGAGGTCAGTACTGAGCACAAAACGTCACTCTCTGGGCTCTGCTTTTCTGCACTTTCCCAGCTGGCAGGGCATGTCCACTGTGGATCTCCCAGAGTCCTGGTCCCAGCCAGCACCCATAGCCCCAGCCCAGGGGAAGGTGGGCTGCTGCCAGGCTGGGTGCTGTGACAAGGGACACTGGGATCCTGTGACTGGTACTGCAGGTCCCTCCCTGCAGATGCTGCTCTCTGTATTGAAGAGCTTCTTTGTTTTTCTCCAGATGTTGGGCAGCCTGGGACAGAGATTTTCAATATGCCAGCGATTACCGGAGCAGGTAACTCCCTGTACCATATTCCTGTACCATACCCCATTCCCTACAGGGCTTACAGCACAGAGAGCAGGAGACTGGTAGATAAAAACATTTCCTTTTTTCCTTTTGCTGTAATACTGATAATAACAGTTGCTGTGAGGCTGAAACCTTGGGACACGCCATAACTTGCTGCTGTTGAGTTGGAGACAGTGCATTGTAATTCCTTGGAAAGCATGTCAGAGTTTGAGGAGAGGTTAAAAGTCAAGCAGAGCTTGGCCATCTGATGCCAACAGAGGGTTAAACTACAGCAAGGTGGACCTTATACTTGGAAGAGAGCACCCTGCTTTTGGTGGGAACTGTGGTCACCCATGGATGAGTAGGAGAGCAGTGGTGAAAAGGAGCATGAGGGTGGGAAGCAGGCTTCGTTGCAAAAGCAAACTGGGGTGAGAGCAGCACCCAGTAGCCTTGAACTGAGTGTTTGGTGAACTGGCGATGGCTGAGGAGCAAGAGGAGGTGTTACATGGGAGGTGGAGGAATGCTCAGGACAGTGGTGCCAGCAGCATGCTCAGTCCTTGAGGTGCTTCAAGCATGGGTTGACCCTGGTTTCTCAGGAGCTGGGAGGAAACATTGAGCTGGTGCCCAGGTCTGGCCATGATGGTGCTGCTGGTGCCGTGCAGATGGGCTTTGTGGCACATGGGACCCTGCTGCTGTGCAGAGGGTGCAGCTCCTGATGGGTTGGGGTTTGATCACCCAGTTCTGGTGGTGGTATCTGAGCGCTGCTGCAGGAAGCCATGGTGGGCTTCAGCAAGTCCCTGACCCTAACCAGCATTAACCTGCCGGCCTGCCTAACCGGGGGGTTCTCTGGCTAACACTGGGGCTGTACCCCAAACCCCGAAGAGCCCCCTACTCTCAGGGAGAAAGGGCCCCAGACACCCATGGAGATGTATTTGCTGTGCTGAGCATGAGGACCACCATGCAGGAGCTGAAATGGTGGTTTAGGAGTTTCCCCAAGGGCACTGCTGGGCCCATGGCTTTCAGCTAGCTGGGAAAGGAGAGGGGACAGCTTAAGAAAGAGGTTTTGGCAAAGAGGGGCAGAAGGTGGCCCTGCAGAGCTGGGTGACCAGCATGGGCTTCCCTGAGACCAGCCCCAGGGAGACAGTGAAGGTGATCAAGCTCTTGCCACCTACTGCAGCGATGTGCACGTGGGCTTGCAAATGAATGAAATGAATCCCCACTGAGGAGTATTAATTGATAATTAATTAATAATGCTCTCCTACAGCAGCAATGCCTTCAGGTTGTTAGTTTTAAGTACGAGGAGCAGCAGCTTTCCCACAGCCAAGGGAGGGAGGTGCTGCAGGCAAGGACTTTGCGTGGTAGGAGACCAGGCACTTCAGTGGTGTGAGACCACTCCCTGGTGTGTGTGTTTGGGAGATGGAGCTGGCTCACAACAGCAGCTGGGATGAGAGGTTGCAGCCAGGCAGAATTTGAGGGATGAGGCCCAGCTTCCTTAGAGCATCCCCTGGTTAAACCCACTCCTGCTATGCTGGGGGAAGGCATAAAGGCAGAGTGTAGGAAGCTAAGGACAGGGCTTCCTGGAGGGGACCAGGAGAGACCCTACCTGTTATAGGGAGACAAGTGAACCCAGATCCATCCCTTTCCAAGCAGAGGGGCAGTGATCCCAGTGCGAACACCCCTGGGATGGGATGAGCTGGGGGAAGGGGGGTGTGTGTGCTGGCAGTGGGGCTTCCCTCGCCAGCCTGCTGGTTTCGTGTCTGTATTTTGCCCTTTGCTTGTTCCCTGTAACCGCCACATCAGGAATGACGGTGGCGTGGCTGAGCCTAGTGCCCTCTGGTCCCTGTGCGGTGCTGCACCATAACTGCATGGCTTGAGACTCACAACCACGCGGACACACCACTTGCCTCTGCATCCTGTCCCGTAGCCCCTGGGGGGGCCACCGGCCTGGGGGGAGGAAGGGAGCGGGCTGCGTGATGGGCAGGGAGCTGGCAAAGAGGGACAGAAGGACTCTCCCCTCTCCCCAGTATGGCCCCATTCTGCAGGCTGCGTGCCCTCATGCAGGGCTGCCTGCCTTTGCTGCCTCTCATGCCATCAAATCCAGTCACTTCTTTCCAGTCAAGTGGTTTCTGGGGTGCCCTCTCTTCCTTCCCTGAATTTTCCTCCATGGGAAACTGCCCTGGCCTCCAAATTCCTGGCACACTGACTTCTGACTTGTGTGTGCATCCATATGGACCCCGCATCCAGGTGACCCTCCTCCTGACCCCATGTTGCGAGCACAGCCCCCCTCTTCCTACAGTCATACAGTCACTCCCCGTGCTCAGTGACAACCCATTCCCCTCTGCCATCCTCCAAGCCCTGCCTGCCTGCAGATCCCAAATCCCAGACTAAGTCCCATCCCATCCCACCGCCAGCCCCTGCCAAGCCCTGGGGCGGGATGGAGCGGGGAGGAGGAGGACGGGTGCATTGCAGCGCTTTAAAGAACAAGATGACAAAGTTTGTTGCTTTGCGAGAATGTGCTGACTGTTTGTTTCTTCCCTTCTCCCTTGTCTCCTTTCTCCCCCTTTCCCCATCCCCCCCCAATCTTTCTTCTCATTTGGCTCCCTCCCATCTCCCATCCTCTCTCTCCTCCCCTTCCCGTATCTCCCAGGGCTAATCAGTTGTAGGAGCCAGTCGGTCCAAGAGAATTCCAGTACCAACATGGGGTTGGAGGCAATAATTAGGAAAGCCCTAATGGGTAAATATGACGAGCAGTGGGAAGAGCGCTCACCTCTCAGTGCCAATGCTTTTAACTCTCTGAATGCCAGTGCAAGCCTGCCCGCTGCTATGCCCATAACTCCTGCTGATGGACGAAACGAGGACGTGCGCTCCTTGCCAGGTCTGCAGCCCTCTCCACCTTCGCTCTCTCTGTATTATTAATTCTCAGCCTTTATACTTGGGGGTGGATTTATTCCTCCCCTCGTTTTTGTTCATTTTGGTTTTCCTTTCTCCCCTCCCCGCCCCAGCTTTGAGCTTTGTGAATCCGCTGATTAATCCCGGTCTTGTTTGATGTTCATTTAATAGTCTCAGAAGGTGCTGTTGCTTTCTCTAAAACCACTGACTGTGCTCCTGTCCCCGTTTGTTGTTTTTTAATATCTCCTTTTCCTTTTTTACACAATATAAGGTTTATGGGGGGGAGAAAAACACACACTTAAAAGATGGAAGCCATAAACCTAAATAGCCACCCCAAACTGTCCATAAACCCCGGGCGGGATCGCTGTTCCAAAACAAGGGAAGGAGCTGAGAGGGGTTGAGGGGGGAACATGGGGCAAGGTGGTATTTCCCTCGCCACGCCAGGCTTGGGACAGCAGGAACTGAATGCAGCCTGAGAGGACTGGATGGGACCTGGGGTGACTGGAGCAAGAGGGAGAGCTTAAGGGAGCTCAAAGGGAGACAACTTCAGAGCTCGGGTCTGGAGTGAGCTGCCCAGTGAACCCCACTGGGGCTTGCAGAGGTGTTTGGGCACCACAGAGGGGTCTGCTCAGCTTCAGGGGAGGCTTGAGCAGAGCTCGAGGGTTGTTCTGCAGAACCCCAGTAAAGGATGAGGAGGAGGGGGACCAGGGATGGATGGGGGAGTGTTTGTCCCCACATGCCTGCTAAGGGCAGATTGCCACCTGCAAGTGCCTGGCACAGAGCACGGCAGCCGGTGCTGGGGGTCACCGTTGGCAATATGGGCACAGAGCCCCTGCAGCTGAGGAGCAGGCTCCTCGGGGCACACGTGCACCTTCCTCCAGGTCAGCTCACACCAGGCGCTCTTCAGCTTGTTGCGGAAAAGCTTTTCTGGCTCCTGCATGAAACCAGCTTCTTCCAGCCATGCTTCCCCATGCCCAGAGACAGCTTGGGCAGGCAGGGGGGGATGCAGAGCCCGTCCATCCCTTCCACTCTGGGAGCTCCCCCCTGGTTTACCTGGGCTTATGTCCCCAGCAGAGGCCCTTTCCCCTTGAAACCTTTTAAAAGCTGGATAAACATCACCAGGGATTTTACTTTAAGAACGGATGAAAGACCATCCTGGCCATGTAAACCATGGGAACGGGGAATGTGCTCAGGGCTCCAGCACCCATGTAGCTCCTTGGTAGCAGCACATGGAGCTCCCATCCCATGACCCTTATTTGTGGGCTAAGACATGAGCTGGCTTGGGAGCAGACCCTGCAGAGAAACAGGCCAAAGCCACATGGCTGCTCCTGCCCCAGATCTGCTCCATGGGGTGGTTGGTAGCATCAACCCACAAAGCAGAGAGCAGCACAGGAGGCACAGAAACCTCTTCCTGCCCATTGTGCAGAGCTCACCCCATCACCCTTCCCCACCATGGTGCCACAGCCCCTGGGCTGAGCTGTTCTC